AGGGCCTAAATTACTAAACAAAGTGCAGATTAACTCCTCAGTGCTAGCACCTGAGTTCATACGTGTCATCTGCGGCTCAGGTTTGCAGTTAAGCAATTTATTTATTTATTTCATTACCCTCAGGGCCCATCGGGAGTTAGAAAGGGGGGTGGTACAATGGGTTTACAAAGTACAAATGATCAATTCATAGTACAAAAAAATAGACAACATCAACAAAACAAAAGAAAAAGTATAAATCAACAAGTCAACAAATTGCAGAGTTATAAAAGTGATCAATTATGGCTGTATTGAAAGCAGAAACATCTTCAATTGCGGCAATGGGGGGGGGGGGGGGGGGGGGGGGGGAAGGTGGTTTCATTCTGAAGGGGTTTTTGGCAAGAAAGAATAAAAATATCTTAGTGCTGCGATGAGGTATGGCAACTTTGTACTGGTGATCAACGCGGGATGAAAGGTATGAAGGCTGTAGAAAGAGTTCCTGTTTAGAACTGGGTTCTAAAAATATTTTACAAAAAAAAGAAAGACGCGCAATTTTTCTTCGAAACATTTGTTCAGGAGTACCAGCATTAGACTTCATTAGGGACACGCTAGCTAGGTGGTAATAATTAGAGTTAATAAAACGGGCTGATCGATTTTAAACAGATTCAATGGCATCAATAAGATACCGTTGTGCTGGATCCCATATCGCAGAAGCATATTCGAGCTTTGGGCTGATGAGTTTACGGTAAAGAAGAAGCTTAAGAGAAAAAGGGGCTTGAGCAAAATTTCGACGTAAGTAGCCGATAATGCGATTAGAATTATTAATAACGTAGTTAACCTGGGTTTGCCATGAGACGTCATTAGCTCTGTGAACTCCAAGGTATTTGTAAGAAATGACGTGCGCAAGGGAAATATCGTTAATCTTGTAATCACATGATAGAGAGGGATCAGGGCGGCGTGAGAAAGTCATGCTTTTACATTTGTTAATGTTAAGTCATAAGCCATTTATTACACCAGGTAGAGATGTGGTCGAGACCAGATTGGAGAATAGATTGATCGGATAGGTCAGTTATTTGGCGGTAAAGAACGCAGTCGTTAGCGAATTACTTCATAGAGGACTGAATGCCGTTATAAAGGTCATTAATATATATTAGGAAGAGTAAAGGGCCTAAAACGGAACCTTGAGGAACACCGGATTTTATCGAAGAAGGAGATGAAGTACAATCATTCGCTCTTACAAATTGAGTGCGGTTAGTCAAAAAACATTGAATCCATTTTAAGATATTAGGGTCAATATTTATGGTAGCAATTTTGAGAAGCAGCAAGTGATGTGGAGCTTTTTCGAATGCTTCTGGAAAATAAAGAAACATGCATTCGAAAAACTGACCACGATCCAGGCCCGATGTTATGTCATTTGTAAAAGAGAGCAGTTGCGTTTCACAGGAATAGTGTCTACGAGAACCGCGCTGGAAGGGGTTAAAAAATGAATATGACTTGAGAAATGACACGAGATTTGAATAGATTACATGCTTCAAAAGTTTACATGGAATACTTGTTATCGAAATTGGTCTGTAACTAAGAGCGGACTGTGCATTGCCGGACTTGACAAGAGGAACCACCTTCGCCACCTTCCAGTCGCGTGGTACAGTCTAACACTCAATAGATTGCGTGAAGATATAAGATAAAAAGCAATTATCTCGCTAGCCCCGAAAAATACAAATAAAAACGCCGAAAAAGGTACTTCGGCACTAATCCTTAGAAAGAAATGGTATTAGGCCCAAGTTAGGCCCCATAGGATCGCCTAAAGTCTCTGGATCCTGAGAAAATAGCGCCAATGCCTGCCAGCCGGACACAAACAAATACTAACACGGTGACGACCAAAACCTCGCAAGGCGATTGGCTAATCAGTCTTCGTAGCTTTGGCAATCGCCATCTCGGGCCCTTCAAATCTTCGAAGCTTCGAGAAGGTTGTTCTAATCCAGTCGCACCAAGAGCACCCTAGAGCATCATTGTACTGAAGGCGTTCCTCGTCCATATAAGCGTCTATGGCACTGTATACACAATCAGCTTAACAATAATTCCCATCTCCACGGCTCTCTTGCAATTATATTGTTTTTTACGTATTTAAAAATAATAAAATTATATTAAAGCGATAGGTTTAAGGGCGACACTTTGCAGAGATTTCGACCTCGTCCCTTGTCGTTGCCGCGCGCGTAAAAAGTGTAAAAATCCTTCTTCTCTTACTTCTTGCCGCGAGGAGAGCGAAGTTGGGACTTCCCGACCGCCGTGCTGCGCGATGCGAGCGAAGGAAGCAGCCCTTGCAGCCCGCCAAGAATTGCACGACGAAGGGAGAACCATCGTATTGTCTGCGTGAAATACTTGTTTTAAAACATTACTCACGTTATGCGAAATTCCCCTTTGGCAGTATTCACGTTGCTACGCGTAATGTTGAATGGTTTTAAAAACTTCCACCGGGCTTATACCATCTTACTTTCCCGGATCACTTGTGGCTGTGGTCCATGGCATCCACGATGCCAAACACGACGGCTATGAGAATTAACAACTTCGCACCTCCGTCCTGAGTTACGTGACGGCCCATTTTAAACGTATTCCGTGACAGTGGTATAACTGTCGATTTCGTTCTTTCGCACATTGTGGGGGAATATACGACTTTTACAGCCAAGCTCTATAAGACTCACAGATCAGATTTGTTCGCGTTATTGTCCTCACGAAAAAAAAAAAGAACCTTCAACGATTGAAGCGAGAAGTGCATATGACGCATACACCATGCAGTACAGCATTCGTTTCAATAAAGAACAAGCTCAAAACAAACACCCGTACCACGTAATTTATGATAAGGTGCCCCTGATAACAATGCGAAGCACGTACGTAGCGCTCACCGCATACGTTTCGCGGTAATGATTACTGTTGCGCAAGCTGCCGCGGCGACGGCAGCTTGCAACGCGGGGAGTGGCGTCAGTATACCCTTTCATATGTAAACAATTACACCATCTTCCCGAGGGAAACCATGGGGTGATGCGGAGCATCGCGGATCGTTATTAACGGTGTTAGTAACGTTGTTAACTTGCGTGTTATTTCGTTGTTAACTTGCGTTGGTTACCACACATCGCGTGAACGTTGTTGGGAACTCCGCGATGCTCCGCATCACCCCATGGTTCCCCTCGGGAAGATGGTGTAATTTTTTAACGTGTATCACGCAGTAGTGATCACACGAACGCGTGCCGGTACGAAACTCATCCAGATCGAAACGGGCGGGGGCGGCGGGGATCGAACCCAGGAGGTTCCCAGCGCAAGCTTTCGCTCCACGCTCCGAGCTGAGACGCGTTAGCCCACTCGGCCACTTCCTCCCCTCGAACGCGCGCTGCGCGCTACCGCTGCTTATATTCACACTTGAAGGAGAGGAGACTAGAGCAGGAGAGTTGCGCATGCGCGCGCGGTGTGAGTAGAAGCGAACGCACGCGAAGTGCACGTAGCTGGTAGAGAGAGAGAGCGGAGAGAGTAACGCGCAGCTGTTGGAGAGAGGGAAGGAGGAGAGATGCGCATGCGTAGTGTGAGTGCGGACTACGACGCCGCGGGACATAGACCCGAGCAAGAGATGCTCCGCATCTAGAAAGTTTGGTACAGTGCAGTTACTTTTCTTTCGTACGTTCGCCCGTTTGTAGGGACAAGACCTTGTCCCTACAAACCAGTGTCCTCAAGCCGGTCGCCGGGGTCTTTTCCCTTTTTGTTCTTTGGTCTTTTCTTCCACGGTTTTGTGACCCTGGGCAACGTGTGTTTTCTGTGGGTTTGTGGGCCTATTTAGGAGGTTGTCTGAAAAATAAATTTTTAGCTGCGTCCAGAGTTTCGTGCCTTTCCGCCCTTTTTTATCTTCGCTAAAGGGTTAGATGTCTATCCTTTACGAGCTCGCCTGCCTACTTGCTTTAACTTCAACATATATTCGCGCCCTCTTGGTTTTTGCTTTTTTTTTGGGGGGGGGGGGGGAGGCGGGGGGGTGGTGGAGGCGAGAAAGTAGGCGTGCTCCCGTATTCGCTGTTGGACAGCCGTCGTTCTTGGGCGGGCCACTTATTCCAGCCGCGCCACGGCCTTATGTTGTATCTAATTTCTAGCACCTCGTGCCAGACACCTAGCGGTGGCAACGCAGCTTCCATCATCAGATCCACCACAGCCCCATGGGTACCGTCCGAAAGTACTGACGTCGAACCCGTGCTTGGCCATCTGCGAAGACCCTTGCTGACCTAAGACCTTCTAAGACGTCCCTATTTGTTTTGTTTTTTGGTGGGGGGAGGGGGGGGGGAGGAGGGGGATATGTGCGGGCAACCTGGGGATCCAAAGCGTTGGCCAAGGTTGGCCATCTTCTAAATCGTCAGTAGTCATTGCTACCGCGAGGGGGCAAGGGCAACTGGCATGGGCGTACCAACCCGGGGGGGGGGGCAAGGGGGCGCTTGCCTCCAGTTCTCAGAGTGGGGGGCAAGGCATGTGTTTTGCCCCCCCCCCCCCCCCCCCCCCTGAAACAGCCGCCACTGGGCAGGGCGAACACTGGCCGGCGGCGCCCAAGGAATGCCAAGGGCACCGCCCCCCCCCCCTCCCCCCCTCGCTCAAAAACAAGTTGGTACGCCACTGGCAACTGGTCTCGCCAGCGGCGCTCCACCGCTGATAAAAGGGCGTCGCAGCGTATGCCCGAGAGCTCTTGGGTTCGTGGCGCGGGCGATAACGGCCATTACATGTCTACGTATTGTTGAACCGGTGTGCTGTGTCACTCCCCGAGACGGGCAGCAGCAGGTGAATTCCCATGGAGTGGAAATGCGCACGAAGGTTTATCCACAAAAATATTTCCATAGGAGCACTCAAAAACAAAAAGCTCATCTTTCCAGTTCCTCTACGAATCAAAGCACAGTCCGACCCTCTTCGACTTTCAGAGGACGAGATAACAGATACCGCAACTGATATCCAAATATCAACCATCTTGTTATCTTCGGAAGTGTATACGCATCGAAAAACAAGTTGTCTTTGTCCTCCACTATGCAGAGTCGTCTCGTTGCCGCAGATCATATAATTTTCCGTTGAGCTTTATCTTGTAATAGCTCTTTGTCGTTTTTGCGATCTACGTTCACGTTGTCTTCAAAGGATCATCAGAACGACGTGAGTGTTTCCATTGAAAGCGACGTTTATTTCCTTTATATCGGCATGGAGTCGTGCTTTAAATACTTATCAAAAAGGCTGCCCGTGAGATTTCCGTATACGACGCTCTTTAGATAAAATTATTTCCAGCCTGGCGCTCACTTTTCCAACCACTGGCAGTATATTGCCTCCCCCCCAAAAAAAAGCAAAAAAAAAACATAATATAACTCTATTATTTTAACATTCCGTTTTAGCACTGCTAAACTACTTCCATCTTAGTTTGAAGTGGAGCATAGAGTTTGACATGGCTGCAAGAGCGAACGGGAAACTTTGGTAGGTAATCGAACTGAAATCGACTCTACAAAATATGTCGCGCTTAAAGTGAAAATTATTAGACTAGATGATTCTAAATCATTCACCTACAACGAATTGCTAAATAAATTAAATTTTGACGTTAATATTCAAGAGTAGGGTGTTTCACGTTTTCGAGGTTTATATATATATTCCTTAATTCGAAGATTTCTTTTGGGGAGTTATTTCCCCCCAGATGTGGTGTTTTTCGGTGTCAATTTTGTGGCGTCGGACAAAGCATATCTGCATATATCGGGTCTCGTGTTGAAGATAGCGGGATCGGAGGTCAGATTCCACATCTTTATAATGAATACTCGAGTGACCCGCATACTTGCAAACTCTCCCTCGTATGCAGATAAGACAACGAAAGGAGATAGGGTCTGCGGTTCTAGGAGGAAGCAGCAGCTTCACCTACATTGGAGGGTGGCTGTGTTACGCGTGTACGCAAAATAAAACTGCAGATAAAAGATATCTTCCCGCGAAGCCAGGGATTTTTTTACTCAACCACAGCTCCAATTTGGGGCTTCGTGTTGACTTTTACGGTACTGATTAGAAATAATCAAATTACATGTAGTCGATAAGTTTTTGGATCAATTTTTTATTCATTTGATTACAATTATTAGAAAGTAATCGCAGGAATAATCCCATTATTTTTGGAAGTACTAGAACCATTCGTAACCGTTACGATACATACCTCCTCTTTCTAATTGCGTCCTTTATTTGTACAGCTTTTCTAGCCAAGAATTCTTGAACAAAGTCTCCGATCAAACTTGTTGAACTAAGGAGGTAGGCAGTTTACAGTTTGGTGATTCCAGTCCAATAATGGACAGTACGATGGGCCCGTTTTCAAACCGGCCGAAAAAATCGATCGCTTTAAAAATATTAAGTAATCGGAAAACTAACGGCTCCTTTTAACACGATACCGTTTAGGTGCTCGAGTCGCAGAAAAGACGGCATCGGTGGCGTGACGGAAAAATCCTGATTGGTCCATAGGGTCATGACGTCACAGACACTTGAACTCGCGCGGGAATTTCAAACGACCCACAAGTTTCACGTGAAACGTGACGTCACGCGTGGAATGAGAGCGATTAAAACATGACATGTAATGCGAATTAAAGGCCACCGCTCCTCTCAAGAGATTTCACTTTATAAAGGAATTCACTTGTCTTAATGTTTAGGCGGGATTCGGATCCAAGGCCGTTCAGTTGCGAACTAGAAACGCTACTGACTAGGCGATGCGAGGCGCGCTTGCACGGCGAATGAAAAGGTGACGCGAACGGGGCTCAATAACGGTATCGCGTTACGCTCTTAAAGGCGAAGTTTAAGCGTTTTCCAAATTTTTAAGTAACGGCCTATCACTTTGCTTCTCAAATATTCCAGTAATCTAATTTAAGTATTTTCAACTTGGAGTAAATGTAATTGTAAGCGCCTACTTCCTTCAAGTAACTGTTTAGAAGATTAATTTTTTAATTGTCCCCGTATAAAAAAGAGATATCCGGTTCGTGATAACGTTTTGGGGGATCATGACACGGCACAGAGGGGTTTCAGTTGTCCCGTTTCTTCCGCGAGCTTCCTGCTTTGGATAATGCTTCGCCGTCTCGTGAGCGTTGCTGTTCCTCACGCAGCTAAAGGCCGACCAAAGGCAGCGACCGCGTGCATGTTAGGCGTCGCAAAGAGACACCGTGCCGTTCTGCAACCTGTCGGCGACTCTAAATTGCGACAATACGTCGGAATCATGTTCAAATCGGTGGTGTCAAGCAACTAACATGTTTGAATCGGCTACCAATGCACGTAGTATTCCCGTCAACAAATTGTTCCATATGCTGCTTTCTGCCTTCCGTAGTTTTCTTCATTGAAGCTCAGACGCCACTGCAACCGGCCCCGAAATGACTACGTCGAGACGCGTTCCAGTAACTCAAGACATCGACGGCGAACCGCGCTGCGTCTACTTCAGCCCCGCCCTTTGCCGTCAAATTCCCACCTTTGAACCACAAGACGGCGATATCATTCAGGTGAGTGTTTCTCCGGGCGACGTTCATTTGCGCCTCTGTATATAACCTGGACAAAAATTGCCAGACCCCAATTCAATCGCATTTATTGTAAATAAAAGTGCACTCAGAGTCTCTTTCATAGAGTTCTGAAAAGGCTGTGGTGTGTTTGTGTGTGTGTGCGTGCGTTTTTCTTTCTCTTTTTATTGGAAACATATTTTCAAAGTTTCGAAGTTTCGTTTTCCGTGTACATACAATGTTGCGGTCTTCCTGACAAAAATGAGTTCCGAATACAGCTTGACGAGGTCAGGGAGGGGGACAAGGCGACGACGATGACAACGCAAATGCACACATACATGCAACAACGAATGTCATCCCCTCTACTGAATTATAAGTAAAGTTATAACTTTAATGAATAAATGAATACTAAGGCTTCAATAAAAACCGGAACCTTGCTATACTGTACTAAGATTCGATGAGTATAATAATACTAAATTCTTGACGAGAGGTTTCTTAGGACGCTTCACACGTCAGAGATCAATTTGATTCTCAGTACTTAAGCATGCTTTTTTAAGGTAATACTCAAGTTCAGTGTACCGTTTGGTAAAATTATTCAACTCCTTGTGCACGCCTGTGAAGTCCTTAAATGTGTTCATTCCGAATCTTTCATTGCTCTTCTTATGGTAGTCAAAATATTTATTTAGTAATATCAGGCCTTTCGTGTGACTAATTCCTTGACAGTATGAAAACGCGATATTTTTACAGAAACGGAAGTTACACAAAATATAACTCTCCTTAATTTATGAGTAGGAACAATAAAGAAAAATTTATGGCGAAAGCGAGCTGAGGATGCTTGACCTAACCTAACCTGACCTAGACTAAAATCAAAGTTTAGGGAGTCCGAGGAACGATACAACACAAACTTTTCAAACAATTATGATATTTATTGATAAAATTAATGTCTATATAGGCTTCGGGGCCATTTAAAAATGTTTGTCAATAAATATTATAAATGTCTCAGACTTCTGTGGCATGTCGTCCATTCTTTGATAGCCTCGGGGTTTTAGTTTATTACAGGGGTCTCAAACCTCGGCCCGCGGCACAGAGTCGACCAGGCCGGCGGTGACCACGGTATTTCCAGTGACCCGCAGCCCAAAATCTAAAAACAAGCGCAAGTAAAAACAACTGCGTCCCGACACGCACCAAGAGCGCAAACGAAGATACAAGAAACAATGGGGGAAAACTGCACCGAAGCGCGGATTGTTTCGCGATGTTATTGATTCTACATTGTAATCACCAGCATTATTACTCGTACACGTTTCCTGCTGGATGTCTGTGTAACTATGACATTACTTTGCGTTTTCATGCGGATCGTCATTGCGTCTGTCATAACTAGTACATATTGTCATCATCAGATTTACTATTCTCATTAGTCATCTTCCTTGTGTGAATATGTCAAAGTTCTTAGGCGCTCTAATTTATGCCTGCAGAGTTCTCTTGTTAATGTTTTCGTCCGTCGCGCAGGCGGTCTGCGCTCCGCGCTGGGAACATTTTCTGTGGTCGGTGTCCCGTGCAGAACAAAGGTCCCCAGCTTCTCCTTATTCCTCCACATTGTCATAGAACACGGAGCGTGATGGTACACACATATCCAAGCGTGACCAAATTCCATACCCCAGAAGTAGTTCTCCCGGGGATGCACTCACTCCCTGGAAGGGGCGCCCTGAGATAGTTGATGAGGAATTGTGCCAGCCTCTTTTCTAAGTCTCCCTTCTTGCAGTTGGCTTTCGGACAGCGCCGGCCAATGCTCCTTGTGCTGATGGTACCACCTCACGCGAAATAATACAAACGGGGGAACCAGTGTCCACTGCCATGGTAAGGGGCACACCATCCAATCAGGTCTGTCTTTCGACGGAAGGCTCGAGCCTCGTCCTTTTACAGGAGTGTGCCACGTACACAGAAGACAAGTCCACCTCTTCGTCGCTTTACACTTCCGCTACGGCTGCTACCGCTGTCTACCGTCGACCGGGTGACGAAAAATCTTTTTTTGCTTTCTGCACTTCTATGCAAAATGCCCTTGTCGGCTACATCTTAAGCACTTTGCAAACTTGTGGCGGCACGTCTCTCCTGAATGTGATCTGTTCCCGCAACGCTCGCATTTGCATTTCATCGACCGGTCATACATTCTTTCCTAGTCAACCGATTTTCCCGCCATTCTGTTTAACTCGGCTTCGGTCTTCACCTCGTTCCCTTCCATATTCCTTAGCTCTCTGGTAGCTACTTCGGCCGCGGTCGCCACATCTTCCGCCTCTTGCCGTATGAGGTCTCGCTTTGACAATAGCTACCGCTGAACCGTCCGATTTCGCACTCCGTAAACAATACGGTGCCTTAGAATTCGGTCTAGGCTGCCACCGATATTGCAGCTGTCAGCTATTTTCCGCAGCTCCACAATAAAATCTTGTACGGACCCATCTTCCTGCTGCTGTCGGTTGAAGAATTTGTAGCTCTGCGGGATTTCATTCGGCCGTGGAGCGTAGTGTTCATTGAGAATGTTTACAACTTCTTTGTACGTTAGTTCGTTTATCTTCCGCGGTGCACACAATCCTTTTAAAACATCAATCGTCCGGGAGCCTAACGCAGCCACCAACAACGCGCGTTTCCTCTTGTCCTCCGTAATCTCATTACGCTCAAAATAGGCTTCCACACGAATCCAATGCGTATCCCAACTTATCTGTATAGTTTTTTCGAAGTGGGGAACTTGAAACACCGTCGTCGTCGCTGTCGCAGTTGCCAATGCTGCAGTGAAACGCGTGTGCCCGCGGTTGCTTGGGCTCATCTCGTCGCCACTGTTATGTTTTCGTCCGTCGCGTAGGCGGTCTGCGCTCCGCACTGGGAACAGCCACTCTGGTCGGTGTCCATTGCATAACAAAGTTCATTCAAACTAGCACCAAAGATATAGCCCGCACTTGGGGGCGTCACAACAAAAGGGTGTTATCGCTTAATAATAATAATAATAATAGTTTTATTAGCACAAAATCATTCACACGCATCAATTACTGCCTCACAAAAGCACTTGCATGCTTGTGTGTGAGACAGGCTGTCCATAAAAGAAAAGCAAATCAAACAGAAAAAGAAAACAGAAAAAGAAACAAGGGTAAAATAAACACATTTTAATTTCGACACACCATGTTACAAACTTAGTTTTATGTAAACATTGCACCTTACCGCGAAATAAAATGGCAGATTAAATAAAACATGTCACACGCTTTCCAAATACGGTCAAAGCTAAGAAAAAAAACTGTCTGTGCTGTTTGCCCTATACAACCATATATTTTACATTGCACTTCGCAGAAAGTTGGGTACACCTAGGAGAACACAATGGGTTTGTTAACAACAAGTAACACCTAGATAAGGAACATTGACGGATTCCACGGGAATGACGCTGCTGCAACATATTGTCATCATTACATTTACTATTCTCCTTAGTCATCTGCCCAGTGTGAATATGTCAAAGTTCTTAGGCGCTCTGATTTATGACTGTAGAGTTATCTGCGTCAAATATACTTTGGAATGTCATAATGCGCAAAATTTTCCATTTAAAAAGAAAGCATATGCAGTAACTTCACTTACACTTCTTTTTGAATTATTGCTCCAGTTTTAAGTTGTTGTATATCAATGCTTACTTACACTTATTCGTATAGTTTTTCCTTACTTAAATTATCATATATTGTACGGCCCTTGAGAATGCGATAAGTCTCTAATTCGACCCTTTAGCCAAAACGTTTGGAGACCCCTGGTCTATTACGTAGCAATACACTATTAATTTTATTATAGTCGAAATTAAATTTTCTGTTTCTCTATCGTAAAATAAAAATAAAGAAAGCAACTTATGATCTGCTCTTTGAGCCGAGAAAAATGCAATAACCTTCAATTATTTATATATATAAGAAAATGTATTGCTTACGGGCGATTTTAAAGTAAAACGTTTTCCACAACAGCATGCCTTTGGGGATCCTTTCATATTATCTGATTTGAAATAAAAACAGTTATCCATATTAAACTATAATTTACTCAAAGAGCAGTGTGCTAAACGAACAATTAAGACATATTAAAGTACTCTAAAAAATACTTAATCTAGCGCTACGTTTGAAGAACGATACGCACTAAAATACAATGAAGTTATTTTGTCATAAAACCCACCCAAACGTATACTTACAGTGCGTGTTTTGTTCGCTAACAAAGCATTAAATGTATGCTCTTACTATCTATACTTTTAGTTGCAAGATGTCGTCTACATGTGCACCTCGGCGCTAAAATGCGAAGGCCATCAAAAGTATTATTCAAAAACTGTACCTCGAATATAAACGCTATATTGCAGTTTACTATAGTCAATGCCAACATAAGACAGGGAGGGCCTAGGGGTTGTCCAGCATATTGTTATCACTTTTTAATGTGATCACAAGATGCCTTCTTTGAGAAAGCAGTAGTAACTGTAAATAAATAAATAAATAATGAATCGGATTGCGGCGTTAGCTTGATAAAGAAGAGACAGCACGAGACAAAAACCAAGAAATCTAAGCATAATCAGTCACGTCGTGTCGTTCTTAAACTGTCGGTTGCAATGGATATTTTTAGGTGCGAGTTTTTGTTTAAGTAAGGTATATTATCGTACTATTATTTATTTATTTATTTATTTATTTATGCAAATACCGGCTGCGTCGTTAGGCATTATACTTTGGGATACATGAACTCCGTTCAAATAAATAGAATATTCAAAATTCATGCACGACAGAAGGAGGGGATACACGCACAAAAGGGGGCACAGACGCAAAAAGGGGTACATGGACTGCGTACACATAATGAACACATTCAAAACAGACTTTTACAAACTTCAACTACTCTACTTAAGTTACCCGAGTTTAACTACCTTTCTGAGTTGTTTAGTAACTTTCAATTGCATTTTATTTTGGTAATTAGTAGTGTACTTTAATTACTTTTTCCGGGCAACTTCACCTCAAAATGAGAAATTACTTTCGAATGTGAGTGGTAGGTTTGCTTAGCAATACATATTAGGCAGGGGTGGGGGAATGCGGTTTGGAGGTTCCAAAACCCATTAAAATTTTCACGAGTCCACCACTAAAAGAGCCCTGCCATGAGGCACGGGGAGCAGGGAGGCACATCGCAAGTGAGGCCGAGTAACTGCGGGATTAGGTCCGAAGACAGAGGTTTCTTTTTGTCCCGAAGCTTAAGGGGTCGACGCATTTTAAGGAAGGGCTCGTGCCCGCTCCTCTCCACCGTAGGAACTCTCGCCCACTACAGGATGTGTGCCTGCATCCTCACTCCAACAAAATGCAGCACTCACTCTGAAGCTCTTATCTCGTGCTTCCCTAGATTGTGTTGTATTTGCAGAATCGCGCGCTAAATGGCAACGCGGAGGTGACCTCTTTGCTTGCCTTTCCCCCCAAAGCTCAGAATATTCAGGTCTTCCAAGATTCGAAGATCTTTGGAGAAAGCTTAGTAATTTTCCCAACGTTTTTACATTAAGTAATAATAAACACGTAGTGTTGCGAAGTATTTTAAGTACAGTGTGCTTAAAATTACTACTTCAAGTATGTTTTAAAAACTTGTAATTTGCTTGACGTGCATTCTCTGGGTTTGTACTTGTACTTTACTACAGTATTTTTATGGTACTTTCCGTGGAAACTAAATCTCACGACTTCAAAGTACATTCCCCAAATCTAAAAACAAAAAAGGGCATTTCGTCATCTGAAAACGCGCTATCTTCTTTCTAGACGTCCTCTGGTCATTTGTATGAGTGAAGTAATGGCAGCTATAAGACCGATACAAATAAGTGCCTTATAATTTTTTTTGTGTCTTCAATAGTTTTTCAGCGATAGTAAAACAACCAAGCTGTGGCGACTTGACTTTATGCAATATTTTCCGCCATTTAAAAAAAAAAAAAAAAACGATTGCTCTTCCGATGCCCCCAGAGCAATGCATACCAGTTAAAAAAGAACACTGTAAAGGGGATGGAAGAGCATCATAAAAGATTGTGTTGAAACTACTTGTACTTTATTTTAAAATTACATTGTATTTATAATACTTTGCTTTAAGTACATTGCACCCGTTGTACTTACAACTTTACTTGTGCTACGCACATAACTTATTTACTTCGTACCTTACTTCAAGTACTTTTTAGATGTACTTTAGGCTACACAGTAAACAAGAAAACTGTCTGCAAAATCGAACTCAGGTAGTGTTAAACCTCAAAGTAGAAATCATAGATTCTTGGTAAACAATTGACCCCGAAACAAAGAATTACGAAACAATTAGGAACGCAGAAGCAGATTTAGCTCTTAAAACATTTCTGTGGAAACGTAAACCGGTTTATATTTGGCCGGCAGAATTTTGCTAATAGATAAAAACTTGTGTACTTTGTTGCCACCACAAAGAAATATAAGAGCAACTTCGAAAGTAATTCGCTACTTTTTACGGTAGTTAATAATTTACTCAATTACTTTTTATTTGAGTAATTTCTACTGTACTCAAAGTACTTTTGAGGTGAATACTAAGTACGTTAAAATAATTACTTTTTTTTTATTAACTTGTACATGTCTGATTCGAAATTCATGCACACACACGCAAAAAGAAAAAAAAAAGAATACATTTCTACCAACATTAAAAACGAGCCTGTTGGTAAATATACTTAGACAACAGGAAAGAATAAACACGAAAACGAAAAAGTTATTTGCGTCAGTTTTCGTTCCGTTTTCGTGTTGATTCTTTCCGTTTCCGCTTTTTTTAAAACACATTTCTGTATTTCAATAAAACAGTAGGTCTTATGTACGGGGGTACATAGATTGTGTACACGTGATGAACATATTCAAAATTTAGGCACACACTTAAAAAGAAAACGCTCTATCACTGTGTGATAGTGCGTTTTTTATATGATAGAGCGTTATGGTTTTTAATTTACAATTACGAAATAAGGACATGGAGGACAAACAGACAACACAATCTTCCGACTTGCAACGGAACGTGGAAAGTCGAAAGCCTGTGCTGCCTGCTGTGCTGTGCTGGCTGATGTTTGATCACCTGGCAAAACATAATGGTGTGCTGTCTGTGCTGTCTGTGCTCTCTGCTTGTCTTGTATGACCCTCTTTAGTTTTCGTAAATTATACACCTTCTCCGATATCTAAGAGTGACCCAACCTGATTCATTTTTTTTTTATTTCTGTACAACTTGTGTATCGGCGGTAGTCTCATGTCAGAGACTTTCATGCATGATTCTCGAGCTTTTCTAACTTTTGTACTACAGGTAACTACGAGGCGGTTCCCGGATGACACTTGCGCGTTCTAAAATTGACCTGATCAAAAAATAATAATCTATGTTTCACGTTACGTGATATATTAAAAAAAGGAGTCAAACGGACAAAGTACAACATTTTACTAACCTTGGCGAAGAGTATAATCAATGTGATCATTCCATTTTAAATTGGACGGAAGATAAACCCTCAGGTACTTATGTATTTCATTTCATTTGATTTATTATTGCTTAAAGATTCTTTGGAGGGCATTACATAATTACACGTTCAAGTATTACAGTTTTCAGTTCATATGCAGTTGGGCAAGTTGCGCCACGTGAAAACAAATATATTTACACTTTTTTATATTTAAGCTGATTTCCCAGTGGTCACACAAAGTTCGCAGCACTTATAAACCGTCCTAAAGTGCACAAGCATACTTGTCACGTTCAACTATTTTGTATACTGTACAATCGTTCTCAAATAGTTTAGCATGAGACTTTCAGAAATGCCATTGATAAATTTAGAAATAATATTTGTGGGTGTACTGTCAACTATAAACCAATCCAGCACAGTAAATGAGCCACAATCTCGGTTCTTGTGTGTGTGTGTGCGTGATAGGTTTAGTTTGAGATAGAGAACCTACAAAAAACAGCAAGCGCCATGATGCTACACTTTTAAAGCTGCTTGATTGGTTCCGTTAAGTCGTAGCATCGGCTGCTGTTCAACTTAAAGAAAACGCAGTGCAGGGGCAGAATCTGTCGCACACTTACTTTTAGAGTGCGGCGATGTTGCTCCGACTGACGAATCTAAAAGTTGGTGTTCTGCGCCCAAGCGCGACCAGCACCCGTACGGTCTGTTGTGGGGGCCAACAAAACCATGAAGCGGAACCTTGAAGTGGTGAAAACCGGTTGGTCGTCTCCTTCCTCGTAATATTGCACCCCTGTGGCGTCATGGCAACCTTCGTGTGTTGCTCCCGGCACCTCTATATTCTATGCGCCCCTAGGTTTACGGTGCGGCGGGATCTACGCGGTCACCGGCCCAATCAGGAGCTCCTCCCTTGGATCGCCCGACCCCGCTCATTCGCGCATGGGTAAGGGCGGCAGCGTAATCACGTGGCGAAACATAAACGTGTGACTGAACAAACTATCACGTATAGCTCCCGTCGCACTGTCGGCTTAGAGGTGAAGGGAGTGGAGTGGTTGTCGTCTGCTGGGGCTTCCCGCAATCTGTTTATCACATGCGAGACTAAATTTTCGCAGCGTGATTTTGAGTCTACCTCCAGATTATACAGAGCCAAGAGTTATATGAGCCCATATTTACCCGGTGGCTTTCATGACAGCGTTCGACATTCGAACACACGTGACTCTCAGTTCGGAATGAAAAAAATGGTCTTCGAGGGATATAAAGGACATGTAAACGTACCCAAACCTTCTTTTTTTACCGTACCGGTTTTATAATAAAATAAATATACGTCATTTTTCGTTTATGAGAAACATAAACTGGTATTCATTTCATACAATTAACTACCTAACTCAGAATTACTTGACTATCTTATTTATTTCACACATTGAAACAAAGTAAAAAAAGACAAGCACTTGTAAAATGGGATGGATAATGAGATGGAAGACTAGTAGAAGACAGCGCTTGTCCTGTCTTCTTTTTTCTTATAGTTGTCTTTTTTGAGCTTGAGTTTATTTTGATAACCTAATCAATTTTACAAGCTCACCTCGGAATGATAAGCTCACTGAATCATTGTGGGTAAATTCAGCAGATGCTTTCTTGTCTTCTTGTTTAATCTTGTAATCTTGTAAACAACAATAAAAATTCTTGTTTTAGGTTTTTGCTGAACCTCTTCTTTTTTAATTTTCTTTGTCTTCTTCTTTTTTTTTTTTGATGCAGGTAACCTACCCCAGATCCGGGACACACTGGGTGCAGCAGATTATTCAGCTGATTTTGTCTAAAGGGGTGTCGGTGAAAACGTTCAATGAATTCCTGGAAAAGGCGCCTTTTCTCGAAGTCCAAGAAGTCAAGACGACCGCATCCCCCAGACTCCTGCGGACCCATTTCTCGATGAGCAAACTTCGCCTCAGCGAGAAGGCCAAGTACATTTACGTCGCACGCAACCCCTGGGACTGTTGCGTATCGTGCTACTATCTGATACGAGAAAGTCCGGCAACCGAGTTTACAAATGGAACATGTGATGACTTTCTTGACGCTTTTCTCGAAGCAAAGATTGGCTTTGGCGACTACTTTGAGCACGTACTCTCCGGGTATAACCACAGGGGAGACTCAAACGTATTCTTTGTCACGTACGAGGAACTCCAGACGAACAAGAAAGATGTTGTGCTCAGGTTGGCTGAGTTCCTAGGGAAGCATCACAGGAAAGTGCTCGAAGAAAACCAAGAGGTTCTTCAGCAAGTTATGGAGAAAACCACCGTGGCTTTCATGAAGAATTTTATGACAACGAAACCAAAGGAGGTCCTTAAGGTGCTTAAAAAGAACTCACCGCACCTGCAGCCGGCTCAAGTCATCAGCAACCAGGAGTCTTGCCAATCGACCGACATCCACATCCTCCGTAAAGGAGTGGTCGGCGACTGGAAGCAACACTTCACTCCTGAAAACATCGTGAAGATGCAGACTGCCATCATGGAGCGAACAAAGGGCTCGGATATCATGGATCTTTGGAAATGTGACTGAGATTCTATGATTCGTGGAACGTACCGGTAAAAAAAAAACAAAAACACCTTCCCTATTCTACGAGCATAAACCAGAACCTCTTTATTTCTCATATTTTACATATAACCAAACAATAATTCACGTTAACACTAATAATGTTGAAATAAGCCTCGTGCTTGCAGGATTGGGTATTGGTGTGCGAGGTATAGTTTTCTTGAGATGGGTGTCATCCGGGGGGTGCAAAAAAATTTGATACACGCGCAAATCGAGAAGTTAAATAAATTAGTAATCAATCGGAATAATACTTTGCAAACGTGCATTCTTTACTTATTTAAAAAATTCTGAACTGACCGAGAACTTTAGTAATACGCTGCATACTTGAACCGCAAATGGCCAATTATGTTTACTTTAATTTCTATATAACAGATACGTCCCTTATTGAAGCATTTACTAAAGTGCAGCGCTCGGACTGCTCACTTGAAACAATACTGGGAGCAAAGGTTTTTGTGTTTCTATTTCTGACAGATAGAGCGAAGCATATATCGCGCAGCCCGATAGCTTGATACTCTTTGGTTCATATAAGCACTGAAATGCCAGGAACGCTCCGCTCTCAAGGTTTATATGCCAGCTTCAATGCGCTGTAGAGGAAATAGGGCGTCGTCTGCTTCACGGCATCGGCTTTAGGCGAGACCGATGGAGGCGAAGCTCGTTGCCGATCGTTTACGCTGGGAGAGCGTGGGTTTCATTTGAAGATCCCAGCAGTTTAGCAACCGTGGCTGGGGGGTCTGGCAAACGGGAAATTATATGTTCTCTCCGCCACCTTGTGTTCCGTTCTCACAACTACGGCGCGCTGAAAGTGGGGTCGTAGCCATCGCACGGGCGAGGCCATGCCTGCCGGCATCTCCCCAAGAGATGTCCAGATCCGATTCTCGGTCTCCCAACATGCGCGAGCGGAAAAGTAACGCCGCCAAACAACAGTAATTTGTTTTTATCATCTAGCATTTATATGGTTAAAGACATATCATAAACGGGGTATTTTTTTAAGCTTAACATATTTTTTTTTAAAGACGGGAAAGTTACACGGGCAGTTTTTGCAGCCGAATTACACGGCCAGAGGGATATAGTATAGGAGGCTAATTGTAACGATCAGTTGGAAATTAAGTAAAATGTGTTAACTTTTTAATTAGTGAAAATAGAGATATGCTTCCAATTAGAATCTTCCCGAGGGTCATCAAAAACCACTAAATCAATGTTTTTTTATAACTACTTTGAGCGCCTGGGAAGCGTTGAAACGCTCTAAAGGTGCAACAAACATAAGGACTATGATAAGAGACGGAAATATCGCGCATGCGCGTTAGAGCATCTGAAGCCTTGCTCTTGCTGCACAAGTGGTAATTCTAGCGCACTATTGCGTTTCTCAGGCGCTCAAGGTTTTTCTAAAAATTACTGACTTGGTGGTTTTGGATAATGCTCATCAAGTTTTTAATTGGAACCATAGAATTTTAGAAGTACAAGCAAACTTAAGTATTAAATTGTTATTTAGGAAACCACGCACATTTTCACTATCAGTATCCGTAGATAAGCTGTTCCATTCATCGATACATTTAAGAGTAACAAAAAAGGGTTTGTAAAAGAGTCATGGTTGAAGCAATGAGGCCGAATAAATATCATTAGTTTCGTTCTTGTTGCGTTATTAAAGTTTACATAGGTATAATGTTTCTGAATATATATATGAAGTGATGACCATGTAGCGATAAAAAAAAAAGTTTATTCGAGTCAACATCATTCTAGTATTAATGGATATAATGTTCGCATCGAATTTCAGCAAGGAGACGGATTTTATGGATCGATAGCGATTGAAATTAAATCGGAAAGCGTTCTATCTTGATAATATTTTGTTTTGTGAATGGTTTCTAAACTGGGCTTGCATATTCAAACGTTTGTAATATTACTGATTTATATGCTCTTAATTTGATCTCTTGACCGGAAAAGTCTAACCCGTCCTTCAAGTGTTTTAGTGCTTCTTTGGACACGCAGGACCAGGCGACGTAGACGTATTTTGCCCTCGGATTGAATGGAACTTTGCCGATTGGAAGATGCGACCTTAGTAGTCTAGGCTTGCTTGTCATCTTGAGCCCCTGCATCTCCAGGAACGGGGCTCTCTCGGTGAACTCGGAGAACGAACTCGCTGATTTTCCGCGGTGAACAACGAGCTGGATGATTTGCTGTGCCCAGTGAGTGCCCGATCGGGGAAAGGTCACCTGCAAAATGCATTCCACTTTTTTTCTGTTTTTTTCTTTTTTTTAAGAAAAACTGGGGTGCGTTAATGCTGCTGACAATTTGAAAAAATTCCATGCGGGTGTGTGGCTTAGAAGGTCTGAAGCGCTATCTACCAGCCGGAAACTCCGCTATTATCGCGGCATCAACGGCTATTCAATTATTGCCGCTATTCCCCTTCATGAATAGCTGTCGCTGGGTTGATGTTGATCTTAGCACCGAATGGAGAGACATTCCGCGACAAAGGGCAAAATTAGGCGAGGCTTATACTGCCGGGTTGGCAGGTTGAGCGATCAGTCTTGGGGGCGTAGTGAGTTCCCCGAGAAGATTTTTTTTTTTTTTTTTTGCTTACCGAGCACTACTATTATCGGTGTTGACAGCACACGTTTGCTGAGCAAGTGGGCAGTAGCCCCAAGGATTAAACAGCCGAGAGAATGTCGCTCGCTCCCACAATAGCCTCAGCTGCTTTCCGTTAGATAACACCAGAGGTCTACGGAGTCGCGCTCTAACCAAGCCTCTTTCATATCACCGGGGACTGTACATGCGTAGTAAAAAGTATGTCTACGTACGCAACCTGGCGTAAGTCGAATGGCCGATGTATTCGGATATCTTCACTCCTTCCCATTTTAAGCGTAAGTGATATTTATTGTAAAACATTTTTACTCCTTCTGCGCCAGTGTCGGATTAAGTCATCGTGATAAACTTCCACCAGCTCGCCTTCTCACTGGCTGTAATTTAGCAGCCTATAGAGCTTTAATGCAAAGGCATTAACTGCCCCATGAAGCGGAGCCGGCGTTGTTCGTAACCGCAAAAAAAAAGGCAGAGAAATTCCTCCCAGGAATGGCTATGAAAATGTCTGCGACGCGGCCGGCGCGCCGGATAGTTCCAACGAACGCCACCCCACAGAGCGGCGTTGCTCCCGCGCCTAGTCGACAAAAGTAATTTCGGAACCATCACTTAAGTCACCATTCAACGAGAAAAAGGGTCATTTAAATCCAGATTTATAATGCACTGCAATACAAGTGAACATTTTTATAATGCATTAAAATGACCGATTCCTTGCAAACGTTCCTGTTGCCTTCAGATGGCCGGTGTGCTCTGATTTTTGTACCCAAGCTTACCTTAAAAGCGTGAGCAGCGGAAATCATATTTCTCAAATAATTTGTTGAAATTTGAGGCCAAAGACAACAAAAATCCTCGACGTCATGCATATAATATTGTAAAAAAACGCTTACGACATTAGTATTTGAATGCACTACCTACTATAAGAGTGCCATTCTCTCCGTAAATATTAAATTCGAAATATATCAAGCAATATTTCAATATTAAATATATTAATTGTCATATTGCGTGAACTTTAGCGACAAAATGAAATCCTAATAAAAAACTATTAGTTGAAAAGAAAGTACCACAGTTTATTGAAAAAGTTCATTGCTTATGCCCCAAAGAATCACTGTTTTTCAAAACACGAAGTTATCAACATCCTATATCGATTGGATAAATACCCCCCGACTGAGTCGTTTTGTTTTGCTCTCCTTAAGTGATTAGATTTCTAAAGCGTACGTCAAATTTAGGCCGACCGAAAAACACTATCCTCCCCCGTTGCTGAGAAGAATAGAAGCCAGGTGTCTCCCGCTTGTACTAATTACAGTTTGCAATCCCTCGATTATAATAGTACCTACATATCTCAATATTTACCATATATGTTGGGTTGAAATTTATAGTTTTGACCGTAAATTACTGCACCTACTATTTAATATTTACTACTTTATATAAACCATCTAGCTAATGTTTTCTTCTTTACACGTGATAATTGGATGGTTTTCTGCATCTCCGTCATCATCTGCAGAGCACTCGGGGCTCGGACCTCGTGAAGCCAACAAGAATTGGCACTTTTTGCCCGTGTCCTCTGGCATCTTTACGAATCTACTCAACTCTCCGACGCCGCGACATTGAGGTGGCGCTCCTGTCGGCATAGCGCATGCGCAGATGCATCTCCTCACGCGCGTCTGGTTTCTGCGCTTGTGCAGGGCCCACACCTGATGTAGGCGAACGCGGGAGTGTTTGTCAACAGCGAGTTGGTCGAAGAAGCAGGCGCAAATAAAAATATTTGGTTTAGAAACTAATCACCTGAATCACGTCGTCCTCTTGGGGTTCGAAGTCGTCCACCGCGCGGTAGAGTGATGGATTTAAGTAGACACAGATCTCGTCACCGTCGACATGTTGGGTGCCTGGAACCATTCTGGACGTGCTCATGATCAGGCAGATGGTTGCGATGTACCTTCAACTGAGAATGCAATAATAAAAAAAATTAAAAAGACAGTCGAGGACTTGGATCCCCGAAGAGCTCATCAGCCCTATCAAATGAAATAAAATCAACTCAAATCAGATCAAATTAAAAGCTTTATTTATGTATTGTTTTTGGAACGCTGTAGGGGTTTTTAGATAAAGAGCTGCTTGAAACAGATTGCTGGGTTTGAATTCCCCTTTACACTGGCAGCCACTCTGATAATACAGACACAAAACAAAAACAATTTATTAAAATAACAAAAGAAAAGCGCCAACGAGAATAAATATAAAAATACAGAACACATTTTTCGTTTTCTAGAAAACAAAATCAATGAAGAAAAGTTAAAACATCTTTTTTGACGATTCTGGTTATGTATGTTGACCGTGAAACATTTAATTTTAAGTATATTCTGATGTAATGCTTGGAAGTTGTAGATCGTGCTAGACTGTGGGAGGAACCTCGTGTCTGCACAGAGGTTGCTTATATTACTTTCATGTTTTTTCAAGTTCAAAAGTAAAATATATATTAGAAAAAAAAAAAACTACAAATGTTGGCAACGAAAGTCAGTGGTATTCAATTATATTGACTTTATTGACTTCTATAGAGTAGTCAGTGGTAATCTACAAGGAGTCTTTTATATCTAGAAAATAACGGTTTTGTTCGGTCTGTATAAGAGACACCCGGAAGATAAGGTAACCTTCTTTTTTTTTTTTTTTAATAACAGTGGGTTTT